GGGTGTAAGAGGAAGGGGGGGTAGAGAGAATTTGAGGAGGAGGAGGATGGATAGGAAAAGAGGGATTAGGAGTTGGATGAGGGAGCAGCGTTCCCTTGGGTCATCTTTAGAAAGTTTTGGAGGTCTTCAAGGATTTCTGGACAGGAGTTGGGTGAAGAGAGGACTAAGAAACAAAGGTTCTCTTGTGAGGAGAAGGAGAGGAGATCGATTTCTGAGGAGCAGAAGAGGAAGGTGTAGGAGAGAATGTAGTGGAAGAGGGTGCAGTGGAACGTTTAGGTTGCCTAGTGCGACAAATAAAGTGAGGAGGAGGAGTAGGTATCAGTGAAGTGTGAAGATTAGAGTATCTGGAATTAGACTGGAAAATGAATTTGACTGGGGGATAGGGTGAGTACAGGTAGGATAGTTTAGAGTATTGGGAAAAAGATACTGGGGGAGATGCAGAAACATCTTGTACATATGTTGAGGGAGCAGAAGGAAGAACTGTTTTGGAATAAATTGAGAGAAAAAAACCCTCTTTGTCATGCTTCTTGTCTGGCCTCACTTAAAGTGAGGCCTAGTTTTGAATCTGAGGAATGATACTTCACATTCGAGCTTATAGGCAGAGCAGTCACAATGAAATAAACGTACATGTGCCACAACTGGCACATGTACGTGACTGAGCAGGGCAATCTGAATGGTCATACCAGGTTGGGCACATAGAGGGCAGCAGGCTGTGGAGCAACAGTGTTTGGCTGGGTGGCCTAAATGGCAACTTTCTGACAGTGACGAGGAGTGGGTCAATATGGTCGGACTAAGTAGGACAATCCAATAATATAAACTTCATGGGGAGGTCATGTCTACGGAAGCAAATCTTGCAATACTGACATGGGTCATATGCTGGCCTCTTGGAGGAATAGTGTAACACTGTACTGCCACTGAACATAATCAGCAAGGAAGGTAAGTAGGTCATTTTCACAGGCTGACCAGTCCTTGTTGTAGATAGGTCTAGCATTTGGGGGGATAGAAACAGTTCCAGTACAAATATTAAGAGAGGGGTGAGGTTCGGCAGGAATATATTTGCCAGTGAGGTCAGTTAGGGTTGATAGTGCACGAGCTTGGGATTCAGATGTAAATGTGACAAGGTATGAACAATCAGAATGACTGCAAAAAGGTAACCTTGCCTACTTGTTTTTGGAGGCACAGTTGAAAGAGAAGGTTATTCTCAGAATAGGGGGCTGTGGGAGGAATCACAAAGAATCGATCCCACTTGGCTGGGCCAAAGAGTGTACTCAAAAGATTTGCATACGTAGAGGGAGTAGGAGGACGAGGGTGAGGGGAAGATGGGGGGTGTGGAGTGGAGTAGTTCAATGGGAAGGAGGACAATAAGGATAAAGAGTAGTAATTAGGGAAGAGAAGGTAGACATTGAAGAGGACTGTGCAGTAGGAGATTGAGAGGAGAATGTTGGAACAGAGGAAGGAGTGCTTTCTAGAGTTTGAGTTATAACCTGGGTGGGTGTTTTCGAATGGATAGAGTTGTCAATAAGTGTTTGAGGAGGAGGTATTAGTATCAGTGGTCAGAGCCGTGGTCAAAGAGGGGCAGGGGTCATATACCATCAAAATCAAATTAGAAAGGCTAGTTGATGAAGGGGCAAGACTAAAGCCACCTATTAAGGGTAAAGAATCTACATTATTGGGCATGGTGGGGCCTGAATAAAATGGGGAAAACAAACAGTCTACCCTCAGGGTCCCCATAAGGGGTAAGGCTTAGGTAATTAACAGAGGGGAATACTGTGCCCATGGCTCCTGGAGGCCATTCATGACTGACACAAAGCCAGCCTTTCATCCTTTCACGGCTCTCACACCATAGGAATGTATAGAAAGGGATGAAGAAGATACAGAAGAGGAGAGGGGAGAGAGAATATACCAAGCAAAAATTAGTTGAGGCGAGGGCTGAGGTCCAAGTTTGGGGTGATCCCCTACATTGGGTCTCCTAAGGCCTCCCACGACAACAAAGAACAAGGTATTGGGAGGGTAAAAAAAAAAATGAAAGCCTCTTAAAAAGATCTTTGACTTACCGTGCCAGCCCCCCTATAGGACAGATGAGCCCCTGAGAGCGTGAAGTACCTGGTTCGCCACCTGCGGAAAATTTTCCACTTGCTCTTCTTCTCTTTGAGTTGTCCCTCTATCACTGGCGTGTCCTCCTAAAGAAAAAGGTATTTAGTGAATGTTGATCTTCATTCATACTATTTCAAAACCAGACTACACATTTTATCCATAAAACATTATTATCTGCTATAAAAGTTTGAAGTCAAGATCTTTGCATGTACCGCTTCACTCTCTCCATATTACTCTACATCAACAGTATAAATCTAAAAAACTCATGTAAAAAGGTCAAGAATATACAAAGAAGAAGAAGAAGAAGAAGAAAAAAAAAAAAAAAAATGGCCCATTCTGTATCAGATCTACTTAAAATGAATCAAAGGTATCCTACAACAACTATCTTGAAACATTTAATAATGAAGAACATATAAAACACTGAGGAAGATTTCATTATCAAGCAAAACATCTCCCAACCTAAATTTAAAATACATGAATTTCTTACATCGACAAAGCCCCGCGCCCGATCAGGATGGTTACAGAGAAAGCAACCCCACTGCTGTTCAACACCATTGTACTCGAACACATCAAAGAACCTTGCATTTCGTAACTCATGTAACAGCATGTCCATGTCCTGTAAAAATGTCACTTGGCATTAATCTTTAACGACAAACATCTTAAAATATATACATCAATATAATTCAAATGGATACAAGTGTCTCAATGAGTATAATAGTTTCTGATATTCCAACTAGTGAGATGCATCCAGTATCTTATGGGAAAGTACTGAAAATTGGACAGTACATAGATTACCTTTTACTATCAAATTTTCTGACATTAGAAATAAATTAGGTAGCAGAAGTACAATGGGTACTTAATGAAAAAGAAAAAGAAAAGGGAAAACTAGTTATTCACCTTTGCTGATGGGAATGCTGAGGTTACCAAAGTTACAAACGTCTTTGTGTCACATTTAAGTATATCCCAGCAATTCTTGAGACTGCTCACTTGTGTTTCTCGAGTGCTAAGTGCTACAGATGAACGTGCCTGTGAAAAAATCCATGTCAGTAATCAGCTTTTATATTATTTATTTTGTTTAATAAATTCCTGTACACAGAACCTTTAAAAAATATTTAAAAGTCACTTTATAAAAAGAAAAAGAAAAGAAAAGAAAAGAAAAGAAAAGAAAAGAAAAGAAAAGAAAAGAAAAGAAAAGAAAAATATATTACATAATACATACATATATATATATTAATATATATATATAATATATATATATATATATATATATATATATATATCACAGAAAGAGAAAAGAAAAGAGACAATAAATACAATATTTTCCCATTGATAATCTAGTAACACATGCTTGCCTACTGAAGTGCTAGAACATGAGGTGTATCCAAATCCTTGGGTTTCTGGTTTTCATGGTGAAGAAATGTTTGCTATAGAGGCAGTGCTCCCCTTTCCCTGACAGGCAAAGTAAAGCTTGGCATGCTTCTTGTTCTTCCTCTCTGCCAAGAGAGAATACACAGAAATGACATTAAAGAACTGTGGCCATGATTCAAAGAGCTGCAGTATCAAAAGTTAACGTCGTATACTGTACACAAATAAAAATTTGCACTTCAAATTTTGTGCTTTCGTTACAGATTTGGGAAATATTACGACTGAATTACAAAATATGTATCAGAGTACATGCTGAAGTATCCACAAAACAAATTACCTTCTATACCACAGCGTATTGGTAGAGGAAGTTTGACAAAAACCTTCTGCATGTATGCCTTGATTTTATCAAGATGTTTCTCACAGAAGTGTTGGACTGTATCACGCATAGCAAAGGGCTCAAAGACACTGATTCTCTGTTAAAAAATATATGTATAAATAAATATATACATATCAAAGGGCTAAATAAGCAATGACTATAACATTACAAATACTTTTTATCTCCTTACTTTCTACTTCATTAGATAAATAACCAATGCTATATAATAATAATAATATTAATACAGACACACAATTATTCTTCAGCTTTTATTAATTGACTTCCATCAAAAATATTTACATCTGTAAATGACCCACCTGTGTACATGCATTTGTTGTAGTGGTGTGAGGATCATGGGTGATGTGTGTTAATGTGGTATTGGACCTTGTTGCCACTGCATGACTGGTTGTGACAGAACTCACTATGAGAGAGAAGAAATAAAATGATTAAATTCTTAAGCAGTAAGCATCAACATTCATCTAATATTAATCTGTATATCACTGCTGCAGCTAACAGTATCATCATGTCCAGCTGAAATATATATTACTTTCCAAGTACATTAAAAAAAATTTACAAAATTCTGAAGACATTTCATTGTACGACATATTTACCAGTGGGAGAGTGTAGTGTAGTGGTTGCAGTGGTAGGGGCGGGCGAGATGGAGGCTGTGGAAGGGGGTAAGAGAGTGGGGACTGGGAGTGTCGGAGGTGAGAGACGACACTCCCGACACTGGACACCGGGGCTGGTGAAGTGGAGGGGCTGTTGAGGGGAATTAAGCGAAGCATTCGTCAGCTGGCATAGCTCCAAACCAAAAGCAAATGAAGCCCAGGAACAGCAAAAGCACATGTATAACAACACAAAATATCATTACACACTTCTCTAACAATAATTACTAGCTTAAGCTGCAGGAATTTTACACATTTAACACTCCCATACAATAAATGTCTGACTATTTTTGCTGACCTAAGTAGCCGCATTACATATGTATGTAAAGCATTTTATACTGAAATTCACACCTTACAATACACATTATCAGTACATGTTATTGATTTTTTAGAAATCCTTTAATAATCACCATACTGCAAACTTTATTAATGCCAAGATCAATTTTCAACCCTAAGATCATAGTTTCAATAGTGTTCCCAAGCAAGCTTTAGCTTCTCCTTCAAACTCCACACTCAGCAAACTAGAAAAAAATGCACTTACCAAGCTCTCTAGACGATAAGTGCAATGGGAGTGAGAGTGTATGATGCCCTGTGTGTGTGACTGCCGTGCTCTGGGACACATCAGGGGGCAGCAAGGTAGCCTGAGACTGATGGGATCCTAAAACACCGGAAGATGCCCCAAGCTCTCCAGTTCCTTCTCTCAGTGTTGCTAAAGAGGAACTCATGCTTTTTGCTGGGCTTACTGTACCTTAAAGGTAGATGATGAGAAGGAAAAACTTAAAACATTACTTGGTAAAATAACCATAAGACAATATACTATATACTTTTACTCCCCTTACAAAAACAGATCATAATCCTTTATAAAATATCTTTATGTGAAGAGAAGTTTAAAATAATTCCATTATTTTTAACATTCTAGATACTCTACTAATGGAACCCTTAACTTACCAGGCAATGGTGAGACTGTGGACATTGGAACCCAGCTGGAGGTGGTGGACTTGACACAAACGTGAACCCCTATTTGTGAACCCCAACCTGTGAGCCCCCATGTGGTGGCCTATGGTTGACCCTGGGAGGTGGCCAGAACTTGGCCCCAAATGACGCAGAAAACAGACGGGAGGGAGGTGCTAACACTGTTATGGATCGATTCATATGCAAGCCATGAGATGAACTGATGCGTGTCATGGATTTGTCAAGCTGGATTGTAGAGGAACCTAGACGGCCAGTGCTCTGTGGTACTGTAAAAGAAGTTTAAGTTGCAGTACAGCATATATGAAAGAATAAATAAATCTTTCACAGCAAATCTTAAAAGAACTCTTGAAACAATTACCAAAATACACAGAGATTGCAAATGTTCTTTCAAAGAATAAAAAGCTGTACTTACAAGCATTCAGCCTGGGCATGGACCTATTTGAAGCTGTGACAGACGTCCGGTGCTACGAGAGGTATCACTATGCTTCTGATACTTGTGGCCAAACTTCCCTGCATTGGCCGTGTTTGAAGTGTGTGGTTGAAAGATGGCAAGATCTCGTGAGGGCAGGCTGATGTCTGTTCGACTGGACCCAACCACGGTTTCTGTTCTATTACCACCCCTCCACCCACACGCACAATTGTTACGCCTCCAGGTGTATGGTTAACATTAGTATTTCTGAAACAGAGACAGCTCATCTTGGTTGGTGTATTTTGACATAAATCATCACATAAGAGCAGCTGAATAAACTTTCATCATAAAATCCTTCAATAAAATCAGTAGACCACTCTTACTAATTTCATTGTACTCATTATTTAGCTGCTGGATATACACACGCCGCGCGATACATTGGCACGGTCCATGCACTTGTTGACGGCAGTGAGCAAGGACTCTGACTCCACCAAAAGAGCCGGGTACTGGCTACACAAACACCTGCACCTCCTCAGTACTGAAAAAAAGGACAACGTCAGATCTCTCTTTCAAGAAACTTTTTTCATATTAAATATCCTAATGTTTATTTCTTTACATTCAGAAAGATGATTATAAAGGAATAATAAAGAGAAAAGAAAAAATAAATATAAATTTTCAAATAAATAGCTGAAAAATACTTTTCAGGCAAGCACAGAAAAATGAGACACAAAAACAATGCATGCAAGCACATACCAACACACAAGCACACACACCTAAACACATAGACACACAAACAAACATGCAAACACGCAAACACACACACACACACACACACACACACACACACACACACACACACACACACACACACACACACACACACTCTCATTCCCACTCATGCACGCACGTACACACGCATGTACGCAACAACACTGAACAACAGAAATAACTGTCAATCTTCAGAAAGAAGCAATATAAGTAAGAATACATGCTAGTATCTTAAAAAGTAAGTAAGCATTTCTTGAGTCAAAAGAAATGGCATGTCCCAAGCACAAGAAACTATTAAGTATTCCATAATTTGTAAATCTTATAGTAATCTACACATTGTCTGTCTTTCTAAGATAATGATTAGGAAAATTACAGCATACCTTGCCACTTGCAACACCTTACAAGAAAACCTGCATTACATCACTTCCATATAAATCATTAGTTTAGTTAACCAAATGTGAACTGCATTTATGGTAAACCTGGAAGTCACACAAGTCTACTCACCAACTCCCAAATTTGCGGAGTCAACTTTTGGGAGCTGCTGAGCAATGTAGTCAAGAGCGCTCTTGCCCTTCTCTTTGCTGAGTCTGCCCACAGCTGCCATTACCTGGGTTCATGAACAGATAAAACTAACTAGTGATAAAATGAAAATAAAACTACCATTACCAAAGAAATACTGTTAACTGTGGCCTGAGAGTTTTTTTGTGCATGAATGTAAAAACAGAAAGAGTGACAAAAAGAAATTAAATATTGAACATATCAACAATTTAACTACAATAAACATTGAGCACTTGAATAAAAATAGTAGATAACAAACATTACAAAATAAATCAACTCAAATAAACCTTAAAAATCAATATTCACAGAGAGGTAAAAAGATAATAAAATAAAACATCTTGGGATAAAAAGAAAAAAGTGCACAAAAATAAAGTGAAACATTCCATGCTGTCAAACAGAATGGTTCATCACCCACCTGTAGAGCTAGTGCCAACAATGAGGCTGCTGTTCAATAATGCTCTTTAATCTGGTCACATGCTCTGTGAAGGGGCCTGGCCGCCAAGAGCACAACTCTACAAATATCTGTAGCGTGGCCATAGAAGTACCACTTATGCTGAGACACTCTACTAGTTGTGGTAATGATGGTTCTAGCAGCTGTTGGACAGAAAATGGATAATCAAAATCCAACATTTATTTTCTTTTTAAGAAACTGCTCACAGAAATTTACAAACACATCTAACTTGGCATCACAAAGAAATGATATGGTAATAAACATCAAAACAAAATTTAACGGAGGTTTCCCCATGTAGCAGCACTAGAAACATTAATGATGTCAACCTCACTATATCGTGACATAACTTTTTTAAGCATAAATACACAAGAATACACCTCAACATAAAAGAAATTAGATTAATAAAATCAACAACCATAAATCTGTACATATTTACCGCAGGTCTGTTCTTGGCAACAAGGGAAAAGAGCATGAGAAGTCCAAGTTTTTCATTGGTATCACACTGCGGCAGAAGGGAAACCAAAGTCATAACATGGTCATGGATAGGTTCCTTCTTGACAGCATATATCTGGGGCAGAACTCGAGACAGGGAGTAGTTGCCTGAAAGAAGAAGAATAGGAGAAAGTGTGTCAAATACTTCATAATCCTCTAAGGCATGGGTGATGACTTATCATCAGACTTAAAATTCTCCTTTCAATTATCAATGAACAACTATTTTACCATATGAAAGATATTTCAACCTCTTTCTCTTCTACATTTTCTATACATAAATACAGGTTCTATTAATTAATCTATCTATATATACATGCAGGCTATTGCTTCTGTATGGGACAAAACAAGTCTAAAATACATAAGTTTGTATCACTTTTCCTGGGATTAGAGGAAACAATGAAAACAAAAGTCAACATCTGCAGGGTGATCTGTAGCCTTGAATTTTTCCTAATGTATTCTTTTTATAAGAGTGACAGTATAAATGGCAAAACTGAATGCATATATGCAACCATGAAAGGTAACTTTTTCATATACTGTGCTATCTATAATTATAAAAGGTGAGCATGAATCTAACAGGTAAATTAGGCTTCAAATAATATTTCAGAAAGTTCATATCTGTGCAAAATTATCAAAACCAATTTCCAATTTCTACAACATGTCCTAACTGTAACAAAGATAGATCTCTTACAAATGTATCAAAAGAACATCCCTCACTTCCAAAAGATGATTAACCCGAAATAAGATTTAAAAGATGACATACCTGAGATAACAGTCTTTTAAGATGACTTACCTGAGATAACAGAGTCTATGATAGGTTGTATGTGCATGGCTAGAAGATCAGCTGCCTCGATAGCTGCCAGGGAGAGGTAGGAACTCATGTTGCGGCTCAGCTCCTTGTTTCCTTTATGAAGGAACTTCACCGCCACTGGGAGAGCCAGCGCCATCACTTCCCGCTTGTGGTAGTTCTGTAAGAAGGAGAAAAAAAAAATTCTCTTTATTGTCTGTCCTCCTGCTTCTTGCATTTTGAGAGTTAGCTAATACTGCAGCTGGGACTTGAATCAAATTATTAAAATAGCAGGTAGTCTACATGTCTCTTTTAACATTAAATCTTTAAAATGCTATTATCTACTAAACTACTTTTTTCAGAAAGGAAATCAGTATTTGAAGCTAAATTCATAATTCACCTGATATTAATGATTTAATCTATCCCATTTAATACACACACACTTCACAAACAAACCATTTAGTTATCATTATAGAGCACAGCATACTCATGTAATGACTTATAACATGTTATATCAAAAGTTAGCACATGCAGACTATTGCTGCTAACACTGTCCTACACTGCAAACTGATCAAAGTACTAACCTAAAGACAAATATTTTCTTTTTTATCATGCATTTACCTGATTTATCTACTAAACCATTTTACAGTTGTACAAAAACAAATGTCAACATACTGATTGACATATAACAATATGTTGCAAGAGATACAATTTTGCAATAATAAAAAAGCACATGAATAACCATTAATTGGAACTACAGTTGGCTTTTGATCTTTCAAAGTGCTCGTTCCGTTAACACACATAATCATCTAAACATATTACTGACCTTCGCAACAAATACTTACTATTCGTTTCCTGTCTTTTGTACTAGTAAAAGGCTATTTCCGTGAAGCACAGAGAAAAATATAAAAAACAGTTCAAGATATAAATCTACGAATGCTTTTGTAATATCACTTGAAATTTTCCACACAAATAATTTCCCTCAATTTTCTAAAGATAAAGAGTGAATTCACCTGAAATTCTTTTTTTTAAAAATATCCAAACCATCTTTCTCCTCTAACTCATA